TGGGATAGCATTAGCTCAATGAGCTATATGTTGTTAGGAATTACCAAAACCACCTAGGGATAGTTGCACTTTTAGCCTGGCCCTGGTCGGCGTCTGCGGTTACTTCAAAATAACACGCTTAACGAGATCTTAGTATTTGATCTGAGTCTGGCCACTGGCCTATACGCACTAACCAACTACGCGGGAACAGTTATGGGCACTCGACGTCGTGGTATCAGCCGAAGCCTTCTTGACGTCAGCGACTGAGCGGCACGCGCCGGGTTGGACCGCGTAACGCAACTTCCTTTATAATGGAGGTTGCTAGGTCTGTTCACCTACCGCGTACTCAATGTGCAGGTGTGCAATGGGCGATGGGCCCAGACCCCTGCGCACATAGGATTTAGACCGGTGTGCTGACCTCTTTGTTCTGCCTTGGTGGGGCTGCGACGTGTTGATCTTCCAAGGACGGTCATGACCCAGGAAAGTGTGTCCGGCCAAAGGGGATCGAGCGTGTTGGGTTATGTGGTGCACCCCTGCAGGGAAGTTGATCTATTCGAATAGTCGTGTCCCTCGGTAAAAGGACTACCCGGAGTTGTACCTTGACCTTATGACAACTAGAACCGGATACTTAATAAAACACACCCAGACAAGTTCCAGAGACAAACCCGGTGATCGCTTTCCCACAGGGCGACGAGGAGAGGATCGCCGGGTAGGATTATGCTATGCAATGCTACTTGGAGGACATCAATCTACTCTCTTCTATATACTGCAAGATGGAGGCTGCCAGAAGCGTAGTCTTCGATAGGACTAGCTATCCCCCTCTTATTATGGCATTCTGCAGTTCAGTCCATCGATATTGCCTCTTTACACATATACCCATGCATATGTAGTGTAGATCCTTACTTGTGAGTACTTTGGATGAGTACTCACGGTTGCTTTGCTTCCTCCCCCCCCCCCTCTTTCCTTTTCTCCTCGGATGCCGCAACCAGACGTTGGAGCCCAGGATCCAGACGCCACTGTCGACGATGACTCCTACTACACTGGAGGTGCCTACTACTACGTGCAGGCCGCTGACGACGACCAGGAGTAGTTAGGAGGATCCCAGGCAGGAGGCATGCGCCTCTTTCGATCTGTATCCCAGTTTGTGCTAGCCATCTTATGGCAACTTGTTTAACTTATGTCTGTACTCAGATATTGTTGCTTCCGCTGACTCGTTTATGTTCGAGCACTTGTATTCGAGCCCTCGAGGCCCTTGGCTTGTAATATGATGCTTGTATAACTTATTTTACTTTTAGAGTTGTATTGTGATATCTTCTCACGAGTCCCTGATCTTGATCGTACACATTTGCGTGCATGATTAGTGTATGATTGAATCGGGGGCGTCACAATTATGGACATCGATTTCAATCAAACTCAAATGGACAACATTGTAGAATTCTCCTTGTGTGCCTTCAATATGGCCCTCGAATTGAAGTTTAGCACTTTGTCTTATATGTCTAGACTAAAAATGGTTTGGTCAAAATCGGTATCCAACAAATTAAGCTCACTTCATGATCTTTACTTTGGAGTTGCAACTTACAAACTACACGTTGGAGTCATGAAGTTTTACACACTCGTGACCAAACTGCATATTATTATTCCCCCTCTATCTTTGATATATGAAAATCTACAACGTATTTCTCATCTGCGGCAATTCGGCTACATACCAATATCACCACCCCTGCATACATCATTGGCCTCTCGCCATATAATTGGTATCAATGCGAGGAATAATTGTATTTACATCAATACCTCAAGCCCCTCATAGGGTGAGTTATTCAAGGCATGTATGTTGATTCTGTGAGGACCATCTACAAGCATTAGGGGGAGAATTCAAGTGCCATACAGAATGCCAGGAAATTAGTTGAATCTCTAACAAATTTCTGCCTCAAATCAACATACTCAAAGATATGAACGCAAGTTCAAAAGATTTGCAACACGTTGCAAATATCCCGCCAAATTCATTCATTGAAAATAAAGATGTCACACAACCTACAATCCTGCAAAAATAAGCTCAAAAGAGTGAAGGTACCAACAAAAACCAAAGGAGTGGCCGTTCAAAGCAGTATGTCAGGACAAGAAGGTCAAGACAAAAGGTCAAAACAAAGTATGAATTCATATCTAAGAGAACATTGGATCAGTGGTGGAGCTTGATGTAGAATGTTAAAGAGGGTCAAGGAGATTTACGCTTGAACTTTGAGTATATTTAAGCTTGACAATTGAGGAGATCCTTATGCATTGGGGGAGGGGGGGGGCAATGCCCCCTGCATATTAACCAATACCTTGTTTTTGCTCCCAGCTATGTCATGTTGGGTGCTCTGATTGTTCTTCTATACTTACTCGTGTTGTTCCTAATAGGGAAAGGCCATGTAAAAGAATTCATCCCTAAAATAGAAGAGCAGAATAAGCTGAGCACCCTGCCCCCGACCTTTGGTGCCTACTGGCCATGGCAGTAACAAAATCCAACGAGTTAGCGTTGTTGTTTGCTTAGGATGCCTCAAATGCAGTTATGTTTGTTGTAATGTATTTACAACAAAATTTCAGGCTTCAAAGCCTTCCTTCTCTCGAATTGGTTTATAAAAAGTCTTCTAATCAAGTATGTCCTGACAAAACAATATTGTTGGGTCACCCCGCTCTCTATATGGTTTGAAGGCAAGACATCTGAATCAAAACTGGGGCAGATTGATGTACTAAGGACAAGTTAGCAACCACATTTGTTTCTGCAAGGGTGGTGAGCCAAGCAGTTCATTGTCCGCTATCTCCCGGACAATGGGGCCATACTTCACAAATACATGTTGTTTTGCATACTTATATGGTCTTCAAGATTTACTTTTGACCACTAATTTTTTTTCTACAACGCGCACACACACACACGCACACACAGTAGCGCTATTTTAAGCTATAGTGTATGATATTTATTCTACACCTCTAGTAAATTTTTGTATAAAATGTCCTAAAGTTGTCTATGAAAAGTTGTAATTACGGAGTAAATTGGTTTTGCTATCCAAGTTGTGTACAAAATGTTCTCTCCAATGTAGCTAAGTTGTGCATCTATTTTAGAACAATGTAGATCCTAAACAAGCGGATACACCGCACGAAGGAGAAGGATGTGAGGGCCATCATCATACTTGCCTTGTGGGAATTGTGGAAACATCACAACGGGATCGTGTTTGGCGGCGAAACACCATCCCAAGGTAGGCTACTAGCACGGGTCTCTAACAAAGGCAAAGCTTGGAGGACGGCGGGCCTCCTAAAGTCGGACTTAGAGAGTTTCTTTGGGCGGATACATAGGTGGGAGTCTAGCGAAACGTAGATATATGTAAACAGTGGAATGGGTGTGTAACACCCTCAGCAGAGGGTTTCTTGTACCCTTCTCTTTTCCATCAATGAAAGATACGCATGTTATGCGTATTTGAGAAAAAAAAATGTAGTAAAACGGTGGCTCAGATATTAAAAAGAAGTTAGTCCAAAATTACTACTTTGTACACAAGTTCTTTTTTTTTTGTAAAATTTGTACCAGGCATGTACAATAACTCTACACTCTCCTCGTCAACTTCCAACAAAATACGGTGAATTCTGCGACTAAAATGCATCTATCCTCCTCGTATCTGCTGGCAACATCCAAGGCGGTCCTCTCGCTCCGAAAATGCCTCGTTGCGGCCCTTATACATGTGAATATTGTCCACATATTGCCCCAAGAGCTAGTTACTCCTAGTGAGAGGGTGCTTGGATGTTCAACGGCCAATGCACTCAGAGACTTTAGATAAGACATTCATTTTCTTGAGGTCTGTTATTCTGCCCTTAGCACTCCTCAAGAATGTGAATTTCGGGTTACATCTTGGTGTTCTCACTCGCTGTCATCTCTCTGACTGTACCTTTACCTGATATATTGCCCCCAATTTGCACATGCACGACGCATAAAATAACATAGAGAGAAAGCACATGCGCAATTTGCTCCATGTTGCATTTTTATCCAGGCCCTATCCTCAGCAGTCAGCACACAACCGAGCGAACAACGAACAGACGAACTCATGATCAGAGCAGGGCGAGTTGGTTCCACTGGGTTAGTCCCCTCTCCCCTGTACCGTGACTTTGCCTTCACACAAGCATCATACGGGCCTACGGCTGAGGTTGGTTAGGCCAGGGCCCCCAACAACACTGGCTTTGCACTGCACAGCAGCTTCCATGCATCCCCAGCCAGGTCGACGTACAGTTCGTGGAGTACTTAATAACGGAAGGAGGAAGCGTAAAGCCTTTGCCGATATTTTACTCAGGGAAAGGTACACACACACACTCGATGATGCCCTCACAAATCCTGAAATCCATAATGGGCTAGTGCATAATCACCAACTCTTAACCGTAGCCCATGGCCCCATCCTCCATGCACGATGATCTCAGGCATATATTCAGCAGCTCTCCTGATCACTAGCTCCCACCCAACCCACTGATAAACCCCATCATTCCAAATTGAGTATTATATTATTATACTAGCACTAGCTAGTTAAATTGTTTATTTACCAAATGAGATTACTGGCTTAAAAAATGATGTTGTGGACATGGAGATTTTGGAGGGAGGGAGCAGGCAGCAAGATTCCAATGGAAGAAACCAAAAGGAGGGCAGCAAGCAAGGCAGGAGTAGGGCTAAAAAGAAGACAGATCAGAGGCGGGTGAGGACAGGTGCGGGCGCGGCACCAACCAGCAGCAACCGGGGCGCCGGCCCATCTACCCTGGCCACGCCACGCCGATGCGGCGCACACGGGCTACTCCTACCTGCATGGGTACAAAAACTGATAATTTGTCACGTACCCGCACCAACACCTCCATTAATAGTTGAAGCTCTCCGACGAGTTCCCTCCCTCCCAGCTCCTCCTCCTACTCGCACCAGCATCATCATCATCAGTTGGTTGCGAGCTCCTCAAGATGCATGCTGCTGCATAGGTAGAAGTACAAGACCGGGACTGTGTACGTATTGGTTCGTCGCCATGGTTGCAGAGATGGGAGAAGCAGCACCGGAAGCAGAGGTGGTGCCAGGGGCAGAGGGCGGTCATGGCGAGGCGCTGATGGTGCTCGAGACTCTGGCGTCGTCTTCGCTGGCCTGCACCGTCCCGCAGTTCCCGACCAAGTGGAATTCCGTCAAGGACAAGCTCCGGCAGCTCTGCTCCGGCCTCAGTTTGCTGCGCAGCAATGGCGGCGACGGCGAAGATGAGGAGGAGGAAGAAGGGGAAGAACATCACCATGTGCTGGCTCAGTTTCTGCAGTCTGCTTCGGCCACCGTGAGGGCCATCCTGGACGTGGCCTCGCAGTGCAGCGACGGCACGTACAGCGGCGGTCGGCTGCGCCTGCGGAGCGACATGGACGGCCTCAGCGCCAAGCTGGAGGCGCACGTGCGGCAGCTCAAGGAGATGGCCTCCACCGGCGCGGCCACGTCGCCGTCGCAGGCCATCGTCGCGGTGCGGCCGGGCGCCGACGCCGGCGTCGGCGAGAAGAGGTTCTTCCTCAAGGACCTCTTCTCCCGGATCAGGATCGGCGGGCCGGTGCAGAGGGCGCAGGCGCTGGCCACAATCGCCGAGCTCATGTCGGAGGACGAGGCGTGCGTGCGGGTCGTGGCGCTCGACGTCGACGACGGCGTCGCCGTGCTCGCCGGCTTCCTCGAGTCGCGGGACCCGCGCGTCCAGGAGGAGGCAGCGGGCGCCGTGGCCGTCGTGGCGGGGTCCGACTCGTACAGGGGCATGCTGGTGAAGGCCGGCGTGATCGCGCCGCTGGTGCAGGTGCTGGAGAACGCGGGCGGCGTGGGCGCAGCCACGGCGCTCGCCAGGGAGCGCGCGGCGCAGGCGCTGCGGGAGCTGACGGAGAACTCGGACAACGTGTGGGCCGTGTGCGCGCACGGCGGCGTCACGACGCTCCTCCACGCCTGCGCCGACGCCGGCAGCGGCGGCCGGCTGCTCAGCTCCTCCTTCGCCGTCCTCCGGAACCTGAGCAGGGTGGAAGAAGTAAAAATGTTCATGGTGGAGCAGGGCGTGGTGACGGAGCTGGTCAAGCTCTCGCAGAAGATGGAGGAGGTCCGGAAGCTCGGCGCCGTGGAGCTGCTGCACGCCATGGCGCTGGACGACGCCGACGTGAGGGAGGAGGCCATCGGCATGGGGGTCATCCAGTCCCTCCTCCAGCTGATATACCCGGACCTCCCCTACTCCTACAAGGCCCGGGAGGTGGCCCTGGCCGCCATCTGGTTCTTCTGCTTCTCCTCGGCGAGCTCCATCGACGACCTGACCAGCTCCGACGTGCTCGGCTGGCTGCTCCACTACCTCAACAACGGCGACTACGCGGTGCTCGACTGCACGCTCAAGATCCTCCGCCACCTCGCGGAGGCCTCGGAGGAGTACGGCCGGATGATGGCCCGGGCCGGGTACTTCGCCGCGCTCTCCGGCCTGCTCGCCGCGAAGTCCTTCCGGGTGCGGGAGATGGCGGCGCAGGTGCTGTCCAGCCTGCTGGCGCTGCACGGGAACCGGGTCATCTTCATCCAGGACGGCGACAACCTGGACCGGCTGCTGCAGCTGCTCGACCCCTCCGAGGGCAAGCTGATGGCCAAGGGCCTCATCCTCTCGGCCGTCATGTCGCTCGCCGAGACGGGCGCCGGCAGGAAGAAGATCGTGTCGTCGGAGCACTTCGGGAGCCTCAAGGAGCTCGCCGACTCCGGCGACTCCGACGCCAAGAAGGTCGTCAAGAAGATCGCCAACAGCAGCAGGCTGCAGTCCATGTTCAGCAAGATATGGAGCGCCTAAGTTATTTTCCTGACAACCATTTCTTACTCAGATGTCTTCACTAAACACCCCTTTGATTTAGCGCTAGTAGTACATTTGATTTGCTGTCCATAGTTTCTGCATATCTACATCCAACCATCATTGTAATTCCCTTGTGCTGTACATTGCAACTTCAGTGAAATTCAAGTTTTGTCATCAGCCTTGTGTGATGATCATCAGCCATTGGAAGTTGTAAAAATCCAGTGCTTGTTTCAGACATCTTGCAAGGCTGAACCGTGAACCCTGACAAGTCCAGCAAATTACAATAGCAAATATATCCAAACACACTCCATAGTCCACAGGCATCTCACCAGTTTTGTCAAGATTGGCAGAGAGCAACTGGGGTTATGAGCAAGCTGACAAACCCACGGATTAACTAACTACCAGCTGCGGTTACTCCATCACTGCAAAACGCCACTTATAAATAGCAAGACAAGAACATGTTGTCCTACTATCGACCTAGAGATTCCTCCTTTATCTTTCCATCTCAAGTTTATCATCCCGTGATGCATCAAGATGAGCACGTGAACCTCTCCAGCAATGACTTATCCAGGCTTCTAGCTGTTTTGTACTCCCTCCGTTCCTAAATATAAGTCTTTGTAGAGATTCCACTAGGTGGACTACATACGGAGCAAAATGAATGAATCTAAACTTAAAATGTATCTATATACATCTGTATGCGGTTTATAGTGGAATCTCTACAAAGACTTACATTTAGGAACAGAGGGAGTATATGTGCTCTGTGGCTCAAATTTATCCCTGGAGCCAAAGCGATCAGTGGATCTTGGCTCACGTGTCTCCAGCAATGCTGAATTAGTGATTTTTCCATTGAGTTTGGATCCATGCAGTCAATTTGGATTCATGCTTGCTTGGTCCATCTTTTGGTTCTTGTTAATGAGAACACTTGTCCATATTCATTTGCAGTGAACATCCATTTTCACTGTTCTTATAATATTCTCAGCCATGCCTATTGTCTATGCATGAACTGCAGCACTAGACGTACTATAGTACTGAAAGTCTGAAAAATACAGTTCTAACAGAGGATATGTCTGCTGAAACAATGACTAGGAAACACTACTTGCACACCCCGAAGGAGAATATTTCAGCAAGCTTTGCAAACCACATAAGAGCAGAGTTATCCTCCTGCAAAGTGCAAACAACAGGATTCGTAGAAAGAAAGAACAGAGTACTTCTCTCCCAAGTTATTTGTACTCATATGCCATGTTTAATAATGCTAATGCGCCGGCATGCTGTTTTCAAATGTTTTTGGGCAGATGCCAATTAGTAAATTCAGTATGAACCCATTAGTAATTTATACAGCTCTCCTGCTGCCACAGAAATATATCAATTTTTTACATAGCCTAGCTGGATTTAATGAGAACACTTGTCCTACTGAATTGATGAATTTGGAGCCATGCTTACTTGGTCCATCATTTTGCTTGTTTATAGTGACTTGTCCGACTCAGGAACCTCCATTTACACGCTCCTTGTCATCTTCTCAGCTATGCTTACTGCTGGCGTATTGTAGTATACTGAAACTACAGTTTATAACAGAGCACATGTATGCTGTAATGAATTTGTAGAGACAATGACTAAATAAGAAATGCTACTCATCAGAGAAAAACATTTCAATTTCAGCAAACCTTTGGACCAGAATACACTAACTGACAGGTAAACCCAAGAGCACCCATATGAATGTCTTAACAAAGGAAATGGCAGCATATGAATGTAGCAGCAGACTATCTAACACACTGCAAAAAGCCTCACCCCAAATGCTCAAATCAAGCAAGCACTATGATCAATCAAGAACAGGTCAAAATCAAACTAATGCATGATGTTGCTCAAAGCTTCTGCTGGGTGAGATCCCTCACTTTTCAGTTTTATTTGTTGGATTTCTCTAAGTGCCTTCACTGGATGGCAGGGCACCTAATGGCCTGCATGATGTTTTCAAATGTTTTTGGGCAGATAACAATTATAGGAAACTAAGCTTCAGAAAGAAAATTCAGTATGATCCAATTAGTAACATCTACAGCTCTCTATATGAGTTTCCTTCCTACTGTCACATAGTGTAGTGTCAAAAAACGTCTTACATTATGGGACGGAGGGAGTATAAGGTTAATGTCAGTTCTGCTTCAGGAATCGGGGTGTGTGTGCATTAGTTTTCAGAGTGTTGCCAGCCAGCCATGCATTAGCTACATGTATGTCATTCCCAATACCACTCATTCTGTTTTAACTATAGATAGACAGGTGATGGTGCCACTAAAATCTTTCTTCATCTTTCCCAATCAATTTTAGCATCCCGTGATGCTTCAAGATGAGCACGCGGATCTCCAGCAATGACTTTGTCCATTTGTTGCCAGCTGTCTGTGCTTTGTGGGTTAAATTCATCCCTAAAGCCAAAGTTATCTATCTATAGATGCATGAGACAAGTGTTCAATGGGCTGGCAATGCTGGATCTACAGTGAATATGGATTCAAGATTAGTCGGCCATCTCTTGGCTGCTGTTATAATGAATACTCTGCTACCCAGTCACACCCATTTTTACTGTTATTATTTATCTGATCAGTTATATATGCCTATGCATGAACCATAGGAGATGGTACTGAGACCCAATACACATGTATGCAGAAATGAAATTGCTCAAACAATGGCTAAATGAAAGAAGAAATGCTACTGATGAGCTATGGAAGGAAAACATTTCGGCAAGCTTTCGAACAGAGTATTATCCTCTTGCATTTCCAACCAAAAGGTTTCAGAACCGCGCCATGACACTACTTACACAAAACAGAGCACAATGACAGAAGTAAAACCAAGGACAAGAGCACCCATATAAAGGTATCTATAGATGCAACAAAACAAGTTCAATGGGCTGGAAATGCTGAATTCACAGTGAATTTGAACAGAATATCCTCTTGCATTTCTGACCAAGAGGTTTCAGAACCACACCATGACACTACTTGCACAAAACAGAGCACACTGACATACAAGTAAAACTAAAGACAAGAGCACCCATATAAAGGTATCTATCTATAGATGCAACAAAACAAGTTCAATGGGCAGGAAATGCTGAATTCACAGTGAATTTGGACTCAAGCTTTGTCAGTCCAGCATAAATCTACCCCAATCACCTCCGTTTGTACTGTTGTTATTCAGTATGTTATCAGCTATGCCTATGCAGGAACTGAAAACCAGAACACATGTCTGCAGAAGTGAAATTGCTGAAACAATGGCTAAATAAGAAGTGCTACCCATCAGCTATTTGCATACACAATAGGAAAACATTTCAACTTCAGCAAGCTTTCGAGCAGAATATTATCCTCTCGCATTTCCAACCAAAAGGGTTTCAGAACCGCACCATGACACTACTTACACAAACAGAGCACACTGACTGACAGGTAAAACTAAGAACAAGAGCACCCATATAAAGGTCTTCTTCTTCACACTCTAGCAGGGCCTTAACGAATGAAATCGGCAAACAAAGCATGAGATAGGAATGTAACAGTAGACGGACTATGTAACACGCTGCAAAAAGCCTCACCCAAATGCTCAAGTTAAGCAAGCGCTCCGACCAATCATGAATGGTTCAAAATCATGCCGCTGCCTCATCGCTCAAGGCCTCTGCTGCTGCTGCTGCCTCATCGCTCAAGGCGTGCCCTGCTGCTGCTGCTGCCTCCTCCGGTGCCTCGGCTTCGAGGACCCGCGCCTGGTAGGAGGAAATGGCACTGCCCTCGCCCGCTGCGGCCGCCGCGAAGAAGGATCGCTTCCCGACCAGATCGGCCGCCCGCTTAGCGCATCCGGAGTCACGGGGAGTCTCGTCGGGAGGCGGCATGGTCCTGATCCTTGGGAGCAGCTCAGCAACCTTGTCGAGTGATTCAGGAGAGAGATCATCGTCGACAGGCTCAGTGGGCATCTCTTTGATCTCCTCCTTCTCCTCCTTCTGGCATGTGCCCTCTGTTGATCCCGGGAGAGACTCCTTGCGGCGCTTGTCTTGTGTTGCGGCTCCCAGGGACGCGCCGGGCATGAGGCTGTAGCGGCTAGGGACGACCCTGACCTTGGAGCTCCCTGCCGGCCTCCTGCAGGTGGACGCGTTGCCGGTGTGGTTCATCGCAGCTTTGGGCGTGAGCTCGTCCGCCACCACCTTGGCAGCCCCGAATCCAGCGACGCCTCCCCTCGTGCTGTTCGTGGCCCTGGCGATGGACTGCCTCCTCGCCCTGGGGCTCATGCTGGAGCTCCTCGCCTTGGCCCTGCTCGCCGCCGTGCCTTGCTTGCTGCTGTCCAGCGGCTGCCTGGCGTTGCTCGACGGCCATAGCTTGGCGGGGACCGCGGGCTGCTGCCTGGAAGCCTGCCCTTCTTCTCGGATGGCGTTCAGCTTGCTGGGGAACGCCTTCGCGCGCGCCGCGGCCGCCGTCGCCACGGCGGGCTTGGTGCCGCTGACGCCGTGCTGGATCTCCAGCGGGCCGAGGCTGACGCCCCTGCGGCGCTGCACGGGAGGCTCCTTGATCGGCCTCAGGATGCGGCTGGCCGCGGCGCCCTGCTGCGGCTGCGGCTGCGGCTGTTGACGGGCGGCGGGGGCCTTGGTGGGGTTCGCGGCGGCGATGTCGAGCGGGCCGATGCTGAGCCCCCTGCCGCCCCGCGACGCCGGGAACTGCTGCTTGGCGGCGGGCTTGGGCTTCTGCGCGGCGGGCGGGGGCTGCTGCTTGTCCGGGAGGAGGAGCAGGTTGTCGGGGTCCGCGGCATCAGCGGGGAGGTCGTCGAGGGTGGCGAGGCTGAGCCCCCTCGGCCGCGGCCGCGTCGCGGTGGGCTTGGCGTCGTGGCCCTTGGAGACGCGGAGGTGGTGGAGGCGCGAGGAGAGGCGGAGGATCTCGGCCTCGATGCGCGCGATCTCGGCGTCGGCGTCGTTGGTTTCAGCGGGCCTGCGGTTCTCCTTCTCGCCCCTGCGCACGGGCGTGGCGTGCGCGTGCCAGGCGGAGGATGAGGAGGAG